GTGCAGTGATGGGAGGGGAAGGAAGGATGGCAGCTCCTATCTAGGTCAGGTCCTGCCACCACTGCTCGTGTTCGAACATCTTTGCTGAGCCCCAAGCCCCAAGATCCAGCCCTGGGGGCAGCCAGGTGGGCTGAGGGCACTGCCCAGCCCAGCCCCATGTAGAGCCCCGAGCCCGGGTGCAGCCCCTCGGGTCCCAGCCCTGCAGAGATTTCTGAATGGAAGAGCTTTTCTGCTTATGAATAGTTATTTTGCCTTGCATATGTTCACAAGATTTATCAACATAAGCTGATATGTTGGGTGATTTTTATGCATACAAATATCCAGTTGGTATAGGAGACTATTCTAGCAGGGGAAAAAAGCCAGAATTTGCAAACTGGTATGCTCGGGAACAGAATACCTGATGAACATTCACTGGGTTTCTTGCAGAGTACTCTTAAATGCCAAAATCAAAATGAGAATTAAGAATTTAGTAATGAATTAAAGACAGTGACAGGCTGCTAGGTGCTGATTGCTGGCAGCTGATCTGTGTGCTACAAAAGCCATCCTGCTACCAGCTGGGCAGGTCGGGAGGTGAGCAGAGGCCCCATGGACAGCAGGGCAGGCTCGGGAGGAAGGCAGCACTGGGAGCTGTAAGTTCACACTGGCCTGGCCCACAGAACTGGATGTTTTATTTCAGCTTTAGGCAGAAAGATGCTTCTGTAGAACAGTCTGAATTTATGCTGAGGCTCATTTTCATAGAGAAATTAATTCTAGAGAATTAAACTAGGAAAACTGCTTAGCATAAAATAACATCTTAAAAAGAACATGCATTTTTTCCAGTCTGTGGTTGCAGTGTAATTTGTGTGAGTATTGGAAGACCCATAACTGTTCACCTGATCTTTAGCTGATGTAGGTCACCATAGCTTCATTGCATGTAGCACAGGTAGTTTCCTCTGGCTTAACAGAAAGAAAGAAAAAAAAAAAGAAAGAAAAGAAACAAACAGAGGTGTTCCCCCCGCCTCCCCGGGAGGAGCTGCGCTGCCATCTGCCACTACGAGCACTCTCACGGTTCTGCGGGTGCCGTGGAGGCTGGAAGGCACCTCTGCAGCCCCAAGCACACCTCACTGCTGAAATCTGCCCAGCTCGAGCAAAAATCGAGTCAAACCTCCAGCCAACTGAAACGTGCTCTGGCATTTCAGCCAGTTATGAATCCTGCCTAACATCAGCACACTGAGAGATCCTAAAGGAGTCACTTAGCTAGCTGAATAAAAGCCCGTGTGTTTCAGATATCTGCCTGTTATTCCCTGAGCATCTCTCGTGTTTTCCCCAAGAAACGGTGATGTTTGCACGCTGCTGGTGGTGTCAGCTCCTGGCCATATGGAGCCGTGCTGGCTGCAGGGGCAGGGGACCAGCTGCCAGGATCCCCTGGGAACAGCCCTGCACAGGCAGCGCCAGCCTCTGCGGAAGGCAAGGGCATGCGACACGGGGCCCGGGCTGTCAGCTCTGGGTGCTGAGTTTAAACAAACCCCCAGAAAACCTCCTCAGCACCGCATGGCGTGCCTTAGCTCCTGGCCCCCTCCCTGGCCCAAATGCAGGTGCTTGGCGTGGGCCAGCTGACAGAGCTGCTGTGCCTTCCTTCTCTGGTCTGTGCACTGTGCTTTATGCTGCTTCCCATGCATTTGCCCTAGAAATACCCTTCTGTCGGACATTTGGCTAAATTTAAAGCTGCAACGAATGGTCCAGGAATGGAGCACATGGAAGGATAAGGGATCAGCTCGCACACAAGGGCAGGATGTCATTTTGGGGCAGCTTTCCTCCCTTGAGGAGGTCCGATTTGGCTCCTGCGGGTATTTAACTCGTCCTTGCTGTGGCACAATTCCTTTCGCTGCCCACTGCACTTACATAAAGCTGTCTGTGGGGACCAGCTCTCTTTGAAGTGGCTTACAGCGCTGCGTCGTCTCTTTGAAGTTCCCAGTGCCTGGCAGGAGCGTTTAGCATCGATTATGTTCCTGGCGACAGGCTGAGATGTGTGCTCGTGCAGGACAGCCATTCAGTCCCTGGTTTGGGAAATGGAGAGGGGGATCATTTCTACTGGGTTTTTGTTTGTTTGTTTTCAGAGAAAAATCACAATTGGATAAACCAACCGCAACTGTAGAGTGAACACCTGCCAAACCTCATAAACTGGAAATGCTGAAGTGCTTGGGACTGAAAAATCACCTACTGGAGAGAGAATCGCAGTTGTAGTTAATTCTGATGTTTATTTTATTCTATAGGTACCTGCACCGCTTCCGCAACTTATGTTGAGTTTATAAAGCTAAGAAGAAAATTCCTTGATACTGAAATCCTAAAAAACCTCCAGATGTTTGTACATCAGTCGTCCACTTTAAACTGGACAGTGTGAACAGCAAAGGGAGCTAAGCTACAAAAATATAAGAAAATGAATTATTCATAAAAGGGTTATATTTGTACTGAAGTAGTATGACAAAACATTTTAAAGCAAAGGTTATGGATTATGATATCAGCATATGATTATATTATAAGAGTGATTTAACTAATTCCAGTTCGACCAGATATGAGCATCTATATTGGAGTTACGCAGATGAGCTAAATTTTTACTTCCCCGTTTTTTGCATAAAACGTTGTTAAATCCTAAGTGTCCATTTTGAGTTCTCCTTAAACACGATGTCCTAACACACTCCGTTGGTTGGAAGAACTGCAAACAAGAATATGTGGTGACTACCTGCAGTCTAAGACGTTACTGGACTCTGGTGGAGACGTTGGCTGGATGCCTGCTGGAGCGTCCCATGCTGGCATCTGTGGAAATGCCTTAACTCACCGCCCGAGCGCACGGCCCCGGCGTGCCGGGGGCACAGGAGCACGGAAGCTGCTATGGGTGTGAATGTGCAGGATATCTGCCGCGCTGCTCAGGACCTGGAGCAGCGAGGAGCAGTGGCTCTGGAAGCCGCTCGGATACATTTCACCTCGGGTTACTCAGGCCATGCTTCTGCATGTTGTGTATATACGTCAAGAAGTTCAGTTCTGCTCCCCCCTAAATTAGGCTTTCTTACCCATGTTTTCTTTAACAAAAAGCTAACTGTACAGGACAGATACATGTGTAAATAAGGGATTATGCTTATGTATATGTTAATATTTATATGTAAAAAGTTATGTACATAGGAAAGAAAAAAAATGGCTCAAAGAATGTTTTTAAAAGTTTCTTGTGTTTAAAGGCACAGACAGGACATTTACATAAATGTGCTATTTAATTTCAGCATAAGCGTTTTTCGCTCAGTTTTCCGTCACTTTTATGTTGATCCCACCGGGGCTTGGTGTGACGAGCAGGGCTTTGTGCAGCTCACAGGGTCCTTGGCTGCAGCGAGAAGCCGTCCTGGCGAGCGGTGCCCTCACCGCTGAGACAAGCTGCACCAGACCTCGGCTGCTCCTTCTTACACGCGGCTCCTAACAGCACGGTGCTCTCAAAGCCATGGGGCCGCAAGGGGAGGCATTCCCCAAAACTGGGCTCTGTCTCAAGGCGTTCCTCCTGCAGCCCCCCATGGGTGCGAGGCACCGAGGCCCATCCTGACCGAGCGCCTGCTCCGTGTCAAGCAGCCGTAAGCCACAGCCACCAGCACCCCGTGAAGATGCCCCAAGCATCCTTCAAGCAATGGCAAGCTGGGGGCAGACAGAAGAGAAACCACGTGTATCACCGCTTTCATTGCCGATCTATTACCATAGCTATGTTTGCCTACCAGAATTTGAAAAGTACGTATAAACGCAGTAGCTCATAATCGTAGACTTTCTGAAGAAATGCCAAAATAGTCATAAATGTTCACAGTCCGGGTAACGCAGCACTTGGGTTGATGTGAACCACAAGTTGTGCTGACCGATTACAGCATGTGCATAGCAATGTGGATTTTTTTGATTACGTCTAAACTAAAATCCATTCGAATTGCAGCTTACTTCGTCAACAACCGTATGTTGCGTGTTTCAGGCCTGTACTTCTTGTTCAAGCTGTTGAAGGACTGTGGCTATTAGTTAAAGTATTCTGCTCTAGAAATATCTGTAGCCTTCAGTGTATCCTCGAGTGCCTTACGCAGCTCGTGAACAAAACTACTGACAGTGAAGAGGCGACGGGAGTCGTTCCTGGTGGTCTGATGCCAAATCCCCTGGCGGCTCCAGCGCCGCCGCTGAGACCTGGCAGTGGGCAGTGTGTTTTAGCACAGTAATGGATTTAGTTTAGACTCAGGAAATTGTATTGTGAATATGTGTATTAAACCATGTACTTACGTATTGTACATTTTATAAAAAGGAACTACTGTAAATTTATGCAAACTGTAAACCAGAGAAAATGTTTTTTTTTTTGTTTTCTTTTCTTTTCTTCCCCCCTCCCCTAAGGCCAGTGTGCCGTGACTTGTGTTCTCTAAAATAATCTCTGAATAAGCATACCCTGAATACGTAATGTTTGGTTCAGTGCTGAGACAGTAATTGACAGGCCTAAAACAGGGCTGGATCGATCAATTACAGAATTTTACACATATTTTTGTATTGTGATTCATATGATATATATCAAGAGACTTTCTATTCATTTGTAAAATACATAAATTATTGTAAGCTTTTAATAAAAAGATCTGTTTTAAACCTTGAAATGAGACGATTTGCTTTGTTTTGGTTCTTCTCCAGGCTGCAGCTGAAAGCCTTCGGTTAGGCACAGCGGTTTGGTTGGTTCCTCTCATTCTGATGCCCGAGCTCTCGGCCCCGGGGCTTTACCTGCGTGCGTGCTGTCACGACAAGGCGATGGCACCGCACGAAGGATCGCGACCCAGGCGCGCTCCCGCAGCCCCCGCAGCGCGAGCTCCCCCCGCGCCCACCCCGCGCCCCGGCGGAGCGGCGGCGCTCTGCGGGCAGCGCAGCCCAGCCCAGCCCAGCCCGGCCCGGCTCAGCTCAGCCCAGCTCAGCCCAGCTCAGCCCAGCAGCGCCAGGACCTCGGGGCTCTCGGAGCGGCCCCGGGGGACGCACGGCGGGTTGGGGGCCGGGGGTGCCCGGCATGTCGGGGCGGCAGGCGGAGGCGCTGCCCGCCTGCTTCGCGGGGCTGGGTGCGGGCAGCCCCCGGCCGCGGCAGAAGCGGGGCGGCATGTTCTGCAGCGTGGAGGACGCCTTCGACAACAAGACGCTGGATTTCCCCTCGCTCGGCGCAGCCCGGCCCCGCGGCCCCGGCCCCAGCCCCGCTCCCGGCCCGTCCGACGGGCACGGTGCCGCTGTCCCTGCCGGCAGCCCCGGGGGGGCCGCGCCGCCGCCCCGCTGCACGGGGACCGCCACCACGGGAGAGCCGCCCGACGGCTGCCGGCAGGTAGGAGAGGGGCGCCCGCCGCCGGGGCTCGGCCGGGATAAGGGCTGGGCTGGCTCCCTTCTGCGCCCCCCTTCCCTTCCCTTCCCTTCCCTTCCCCGTCCCGTCCCGTCCCGTCGGGGGCTCGGGGGACCCCGAGCCGGGGTCGGCGGCAGCGAGCGGGGCGCTGGGGACGGAGCCGCCCCCCCGCCGCTTCTTTAAACTACAAGAAGGGAGATTTCGATCAGACCTTAGAAGAAATTCTTCCCCGTGAGGGCGGCGAGGCGCTGCCCAGGCTGCCCCAGGAGCTGTGGGTGCCCCATCCCTGGCAGTGCCCCAGGGCTGGGGGGCTTTGGGCAGCCTGCGCTGGGGGCAGGGGTCCTGCCCACGACGGGGGTGGCACAGGACGGTCCCTAAGGTCCCTGCCGCCCCGACCCGCTCCGGGCTGTGTGGTTCCCCCCGGGGGCACGGTCCCCTCGGCGCTGGCGAAGCCCCCTGCCCGCAGACGGCCCCGCACGGCCGCGGGGAGCGCGCCCCGAGGTGCGGCCGGCCCCGGGCTGTGTCCCGCAGCCCCCCGGCCCCGCGGTGCCGGCAGCGCGGCCCCGGGCCGTGGAGGGGGGGGGGGGCGAGGGGGAGCGGGGGGGAGCCGGCGGCGGGGGCGCGCAGGCGCGCACGGGGGCGCGCACGGGCGCACAGGCAGGGCAGGCAGGAGGATGTCGCAGCCGGGCAAGAAGAGCATCCCCCGCAGCACGGTGAGCGCGGCGCAGCCGCTCCCGGCGCCCGGAGCTCGCCGCGGCCCGGGGCCGCTCCCCGGCTGCCGCCCCCCGCCCCGGGCCGGCCCCGCACGGGCTCTCCCGTCCCTCCTCTCCCCTCCCCTCCCGGCGGCGGCGGGCGGCCCCCGGGCTCTTTGTGGGCCCGGCCCGGCGGCTGCCGGCTTTGTCCGCCCGGCAGCACGGAGCCGGGGCCGCGGACAAAGGCGGCGGGGGCGCGGGGCGGGGGGCGCTGCGCCCGGCGGAGCCCGGCGGCGGTGCTCGGGGGGGTTCCCTCCTTCCTTCCCCTCCTTCCTTCCCCTCCTTCCTTCCCCTCCTTCCTTCCCCTCCTTCCCCCGCTGCCGGGGCTCGGGCAGCTCCGCTCTTTCTTCCCTTTCTTTCTTTCCTTTTTTCCCCTGGCCGCCCCCCGGCCGCGCTCCTGCGCGGAGCCTTCCCGGGACCGGAGTGGCGGGGCCGGGAGCCGGGAGCCGGGCGGGAGGCGCTGAGCGCCCCGGGGGCTGGGGAAGCAGCAGCGCAGGCGGTCGGTGGCTTCCTAGAAATTCTGTGATTCTGTGATTCCCCGTGCGGCGCTGGGGGCTCTGGAAGCAGACGCCGGCTGTTTGCCAGGCTGGGCGCTGCGGCAGCGCACGGTGCTGCCATCCATCCATCCATCCATCCATCCATCCATCCATCCATCCATCCATCCATCCATCCATCCATCCATCCATCCCTCCATCCATCCATCCATCCATCCATCCATCCATCCATCCATCCATCCATCCATCCATCCATCCCCCCGCCGTGCAGCAGGCTCCTGCGGCCCCCCTCGGGGTCTGTGCCCCGGGATGGCCCCAGGATGGCTCCTTCCAGCCCTTAACAGCACCAGGGAGCAGGGAGGGAGCCCCTCATTCCATGTTTACAGAAATGCAGCCGCTTTCTGATTTTTGGTTAAAGATCTTGTAAGGCTGACAACCGTGGCACAGTCTTGCTTTGAAATGAGGCAGGTCCTTGAGGCATTACCAGCCTCTGACAAGACTGGGGAAACTAATTAGTGAATGCCAATAAATTATCGGGTTAATAAGATGCACTTAGCAGCCCTCACCAGAGGCGCTGATGGAGGAGCAGATGCAGGACTGAGCTGCGGGATGTTGTCCTGCAACACTGCTGGAGCCGCCGAGCGCCTCGCCTGGGCAGCTGGTCCCAGCATCGGTCCCGGGTCCGAGCGGGGTCCTGCAGGGGGTGGCTCTGCACGGGCCCCACCACAGCGCCCGGCTGCCTGCACGCTCCCTGCGAGCCGGGCCTCCGGAGCTGGGCTCCTGGGCTCTGCCGCGTCCACAGCCTGGGCTCATGGCACACATCAGAGGAGATCTGTCTTCCTCGGAAAGTGTCTGTGGACTTTTCTGCAGGGTACAGCTGGGCTTCGGTATGGAACACAGGATATTAAACTAAGTTTGGATCGTCAAGGATCAAAATGCTAAGTCCTAGACTTCATAAAAGCTCATTCTGAGTAAACAAGCATCTAAATAAAGCAATCTTGAATTTTTATTTGTTTTTCCACTAGAGTGATCAGCTTCTAATCAAGGGAGGAAAAATTGTCAACGATGACCAGTCATTTTATGCAGACATTTATGTGGAAGATGGTTTAATAAAGTAAGTTTATAAATATATATATATATATTGTAACAAAATTTCCAGGCATAGTACATTTAATTTGAACAAGGAAAATTACATTTGACAATTAAATTTGTCATTTAATTTGAACAAGGTTCCTTTCTGTCAGTTTTTCTCTTGGAAATACGTCCCCTATCTGAAAAACAAGAATTTTTGGATATGGCCAGGCAGTGACTAGTGTGCCCTAGTGGCTGGGGCTTGGGCTGGGCTCTTTGTACGCCGGCACTTAAAAGTTGCTGCCACTTACCAGGGCACCTTAATCCTGTTTTCAGACAAATTGGAGAAAACTTGATCGTGCCCAGTGGGGTGAAGACGGTTGATGCCTACAGCCAGATCGTTGTGCCGGGCGGGATAGATGTGCATACGAGGCTGCAGATGCCCGTGATGGGGATGACCTCTGCCGATGACTTCTACCAAGGCACGAAAGCAGCCCTGGCAGGAGGAACCACAATGATCAGTAAGACCGAGCGGTGTCTGAACAGACTGCTAAGTAGAACATTGTGTAGTGAAACACATGGGGCCTCTTGTCGTGGCAGAGTTTATTTATCCTCAAAGCAGAGAAATGTTAATTTTTGCTATAGTAATCAAAACATCGCAAAGCTAATTAAAATGCATTATGTGCCTTTCGGTAACTGCCTTCCTTTGCTGTGCACATATATTGCAAACACGTAGCTGTTCCTGCTTCACCTCATAAGACAGTAAAGCAGAAGAAAACTTTAAACACCTTTTTATTTTATTTTTTTTGTTATGTATGTATTATAATTTTTATTTCTGTTTTGTTCTTATTTTGGTCCCAAAGCACACGGGAGTATTGGCCTGAAGGAGCAGTTCTGAATAAATCTGCTGTCGCTCTGTACCGTGGTCATAGCCAGTACTGTAGGGAGTAAGAGCAAACACAAGAGGAAGAGCAGGAGGGGATGGGGATGGGCGGTGCGTGGCTGCACGTGGGGGATGCCCAAGGGAGCTGTGCAAGGCCATGCTTTGTCCTCTCAGCTTGCCATGTGGTGGAGGCTGTAAGAAAGAAAGAGGCATAACAATAGCCATAAATCAGTTAGTCTGTTTCCTTTGTTTCACTTTTCTGATACGTTTATCTGTAATCAAAGCTATAAAAGCGAATTACAATGAAAATGTCTCAATCGTAGCAGTAAAGTCTTGCACAGAAATACCTGTGGCTGTTGTAATCTCCAGGTGTTTCTCTAGTCACACAGAGCTGTCCCTAGAAAGCATACCAATACTCTGCAGTATCTCCTCAGTTGACCACGTGTTCCCCGATGCCGGGACGAGCCTTCTTGCTGCGTATGAGCAGTGGAGAGAGTGCGCCGACAGCAAAGCCTGCTGTGATTACTCACTGCACGTCGACATCCCTCGCTGGCATGAGAGCCTGAAAGAGGAGCTGGAAGCCCTCGTGAAAGACAAAGGTAAAGGCACAAAGAGCAGCGCTCTGACACACCCCCACCCCCACCAAAAAAAAAAAAAAAAAAAAGAAGAATATTGCAATATCGGCACATAAGCAGGTTCCCCCAGGGTAGGCTGTGACAGTGCTCTGCAGGAATGCTTTTATCCACTGGTAAATGCGTACGTGCAGGGGACCTTACTCATTTGCTATTGAGGGGTGAATCACCCTTCTCTTACCATCTAGGTTAAAGATGTAGACGAGTATTGACACTGGATTCATACCCTAACGTATTTTGCAGGATCTTGTTCATCTGCTCTTACCTCTGGGCAATTTACAGCCCAGTATTGAAAATCTGTTTTGGAAACTACAGAAATCGTGTCAGGCTTCCTGAGTCAGGCTCCTGGACTTACAGACAATATTTAAAGAAAAACATTTGAGGTTGGGCTAGCAGGCCCAAACGCTTTAGGCTTTTCCCAGAGATGTCATTTGTGCTTCTGATTCCTGTACATCCTAAAGTATCCCTTGGACATAACTTACCAAAAAGCTGGCCATGTGTCAGGAATACATGCATTTCATTAATACTTAATTCAATGTTTTGGAACTACATTTTGCTTTCAGATATGCTAATGTAGAGCTAAATGACTTCAGTGTAATTTGCAGTCTTGCAAGCAAGGGCTTAATTGGTCAATTAACATAGGAATTTGCAGTGAATTTCCCATTAAAATGCTGAGCGGATGAAGTAATGCAGCCATTCAAAGCTTAAACCAGATATTTTTCATATGTATGTTCCCATGAAATACAGTTTGTTTGCAATTTGATCGTAGTTTGGGATTAGTTGTTGCCTTTATCCATATAAAAAACTGTGGCAATTGTCAGGCTTTGACTCTGTGCTTCACGTTACATGTTGGATAGAAATGAATTAAGATTGTGTGCAATGCTGTGTGCAGAAATACTGTACATCTAGTTGTCTAACTAAATGCCAACAGTGCTTTAAAACAAGAGAGTCTCATATTGTGTTGTACTTTGTGGTCTTGGCACTAATGCATTAATTCAAATACAGTTGGAAGTTGGAAAGAAACCATAAATTCAGACCACTTTTGGAGGGAAAATTAAGATTGGAAGCAATGCATTTAATTCTGTGAATTAGGGTCGAGTTACAGAGTATCTAAAATCAGAAATGGACGATGTGTTTTTTTTTGTTCAGGTGTATCCAAACATAGGAGAGTATTGTGTCTCGTGACTCCCAAAACATGGGGTTCAGCTCTCACGAGAGGAGTTTCCCTGCTTAGCCTTGGTTTGCTTTCAGCCTAGCCCCCCTGCACAAAGCACCGGAGTTGAGCATCCCTGCTCAGCCCGTACCAAGGTGCTGCGTTCTGGGCTGTGATAATAAATGCACGTGTCGTTTTCTTTTTTCAAGGTGTGAACTCCTTCCTGGTTTTTATGGCTTATAAAGACAAACTTCAGTGCACTGATGCCCAGGTAATACAGACAGCCGAGGTGCAATAGGAGTAATTTTGCACTTCAGAGCAGAGACCATAATTTATCTGATACTGGGCAACCCCTTCTCTCTTGACAGATGTATGAAATATTCAGCATTATTCGAGACTTGGGGGCCATTGCCCAAGTGCATGCTGAAAACGGAGACATCATTGATGAGGTACAGTAATGATGTTCATTTAAATTAAAGGTGGAGCAGAGTAACTTGATGTAAGGCAAAGTGCTGACTTCAACAGATAGCACACAGACTCTAACAGAAGGTGCCAGCATGCTTTTAGCATTCATTTGATGCTGCAAAATCAGCAGAGATTTTCAAAATGAGACGAAGAGGAGTAATCTGCAATTGCTTTGTGAAGAGAATCAGCGTGCGCTTCTAGTGTGTGCTGTCCGCTGCTGTCACCTGGATTGCTCACCTCTGAAATCTCCAGCAGGGCAAACTCTCCTTCCTCTTTGCGTGTTGACGCCAAGCCTTGAAGAGGGCAGGGGAATCCAGAAATGGTGTCAGCCCTAACCTGCCCCTTCTCTCCTCCCCCCACAGGCTCCTGGTGGGATTCGGTCTCCAGAATAATCTGAGTACCAAAGCTGTGGAGGGAAGGGGCTGAGAGGAAATCCTGTTGTGGCAGCATGTGCAGGCACACGAATGTGCAGGAGGATCTGGGGCTCCTGCTAAAATCAACAGCGTCCTCCCAGCTTTTCCCATGCGCTTGGGTTTCATCACAGGAATCTGCTCAATAGTTCCCAGATAGGGGCCTCTTAAAGATTGACTGACTGCTTTAAGTGATATTTTATCACTTTATTTATCTTGTTCAGAAATCTTGAGTATGCTTAGAAGCCTTGAGGACTTTAGAAGGTTAAGGAGTTTTGCATTTTTTAAATAATCTACATTAGACGTGGTAATATATATATCCAAAAATGGCTTTCAGGAATTTATTTGGAATTGCAAACTGTGTATTATTTTTCCTTTTTAGCTTTAGAGAAGAAAGTCCTAGGTAAATACTGCAAATAGTTGATAGATGTAGAATTAGACTTGTGGTTTCTTTTAGCTTACGGTCACTTAAGTTCAGTACGGTGTGGGAGGAGAGTTTAAAATGAAAGCAGAATCCCAGTCCTTGAAATGGGTTTATTTGAACAAACAGGATAGAGGGTAATTCCCACCCCCATCTTCTCTTCTTCCTTGGGCTTCTCTGAACAGCTTCAGCCATGGACTTGAGGGTCCAGGAGATACCTGCTCCTTTTCTAGCTGTGAATCATATTTAGCATAGGCTTGGAGTAAGCAGTGGTGGGTCTGAAATCCCAAATCTTCCAGAACTGTAACTGGGTTTAAAAAATGGAGAAGGTCCAAAGGACATGTAGCAGTTCCCAATCCAAAGATGTGTCCACAGCATAAACTGGGCCTTCCTTTCACTCCCAGCAGCTGATGGATTGCCATAGATACCACACAATTGTATTCATTTATCATTTACGTGTATCATGGAATTGACACTGCTGAGCCAGGTGAGTCCCACATGGCTTCAGACTGTTCACATTGCTCACCGCTCTTGTTCATCTTCTTCCCCCTAGGAGCAGAAGAGACTGTTGGACCTTGGGATTACGGGGCCAGAGGGGCACGTCCTGAGCCGCCCGGAGGAGGTAATGTCAACAGCTTTTCCAGCAGAGCTGTCCAAAGCTGCAGACCAGCCACAGCTTGTGGTGGCTCAGCTCTGACAGAGATGTCTTGAGATGTTCTCTGCTTGTATTCGGTTTTGTGTCTGCAGGTTGAAGCAGAGGCGGTGTACCGGGCCATTACAATAGCAAAACAAGCCAACTGCCCCTTGTACATCACAAAAATAATGAGCAAAGGTGCAGCAGATGTGTTAGCCCAAGCAAAGAGAAAAGGTAAAGTGCTATTTAATGTTTGCACACTAATTAAGCCGATTTAAATACCTCCAGGAATGTCACGCTAGCTGCAAGGTTTAGGAACTCGTTAGCACCTGAGTTCTGTCACATTTTAAGGGTGCGAAAACTTGGTGTTGGCTTTTCTTCACAGAGTATGCCAGAGCTAATTGCTCTGAACTGAACTCGAAAGATGTGAAGAGATGTGCTTGAAACTGACACCCGGATCTGAGTAGATGCAGCAAAAAAAAAATAACACCTCGCTTCTGATCATTTCTCATGAACTAAATGAAAAATGGAACTGGAACAAACTCCAGAGTTAAATGTGGTGTGCTGGGGAGGGCTAGCAATGTTCCTACAGGGAGGCAAGGTCGAGCAGTGTCCTGAGCACACGGTGTTGTGCGGCCACGGCTGCCCCCAGCCAGAGAGCCTCCGATTTGATGTAAAGAAATGTGTAACACGTATCAGACAGAAATGTGGGTTTTTTCTAAGGAGAAAAGAGACGCATTCAGAACTTGTTCTGGCAGCACTTCCCAGTCATCTGAGATAATCTGAGGGATTAGTCTGTATTTAAAAAGCTGAAATGCTGAGAGCACTGGAGGTAAACGAAACCATCCTTATTGCTAACCACGGTATTTGTGCTGTGTGAAAGGAGGCTCAGGGGCACGCAGCGCGTTTGCAGTCACTGCTCCCATTGCTCTGCAGGCACTGTTGTGTACGGAGAGCCCATCACCGCCAGCCTCGGCACCGACGGCTCGCACTACTGGAGTAAGAACTGGGCCAAGGCCGCAGCCTTCGTCACCTCTCCCCCCATCAGCCCTGACCCGAGCACGCCGGACCGCCTCACCTCCCTGCTGTCCTGGTGAGCTCTGCGCTGCGCTGCGGTGCCCACACCCTGCCCACTGGGCAGGTGCAGATGGCATTCCCGGGGGGGGCACACTTCTCCATAGCAAATCATAAATCTTGGGTTGTTTTTTCTAACAAGGAGCCAGGCGACAGTCGTGTGGCTGCTTTGAAAGAGAATCCAGGTTAGGCTTTGATGAAGCCGGGTAGCAGCTAGCAGACTTCTCCCATATAAGTCAGTCTCCCACGAGCTGCTTCCATCCACAGAACTGCGCAGGGGAGCGTGCTGTGCCCTCCGCATCACCCGAGGGCCCCGGGCACGGGGACTCAGCGCCCAGCAATGCTCTGTCTCGGCATAACCCACAGAAATCTACCAGTATTAGGTTAGCTTTACAGTAAATTGAAGGGTTTCATCAGAAGCAACGTTAGACATTCACAGGCTTTTAAAATCTGAAACATAAACACTGAGGGCATGTTGCCCTGGAGAGCTGTTTTCAATCTATTGTAGTACAACAAAGCCCATCATGTCAGCTTGAACATCTCTGGGACAGTTCACAAACACAGCAGACACTGACAAGTCAGCAAACGAACGGACAGGTGAATAACAACGCCTGCGTGTGCTCTGTCTGCATCCACAGAGGCAGCAGTGGCTGGAGCTTTGCATTTTCATGCAGTATGTATACATACAGTGCTGCATAAAATGTAATATCTTACAGTACTTTACATTTGGTTTTATCCAGAATCTTGTTTTATTTAACCATAGCCTTGCTTTAAGAGCTGTTTTAGCACCATATCAAAAGAATGGTTCTGAGACCCACCTTCATATTAAAACAATATGAGGTTCAAAAGGAAGGCACGAAGATGAAGATGGTTGCTAAACAGTAAAAGTAACAGCTAGATTAGGAGAAAATATCAAAAGCACATACGGGGCTGCTGTTCCTGTTCTTAGAAGATTTCAGTGCTTTATTCCTGTGCAGACTGGTAGCGTGAGATGCCTCTGTGTACTTGTAAAATTTACCTCGACGTACCTTGACTTTCAATGGGATTTAAAGATCTGAAGTCGCCTGCCTGTGCGGCGTTTATTGATTAAATCAATGCACATCAAACAGGCGGAGCACAGAGCCCGCAGGCCCTCGTGTCACACAGTCTTGGCCAGGGTGAGCTTCACCCAGGCAGCGCAGCCCTGTCACAGGGAAGGAGACACATTTTCGCAGTTCTGAGACGCCCCCTCAGAGCCTCCTCTGACCACCTCTCTCCATCTGTCCTAGCGGGGACCTGCAGGTGGTGGGCAGCGCCCACTGCACGTTCACCACCGCCCAGAAGGCAGTGGGGAAAGACAACTTCACCCTCATTCCCGAGGGAACAAACGGCATCGAGGAGCGAATGGCGATAATTTGGGAAAAGTGTGTGGTAGGTACTGAAACAGCACCGGTTTTGTGGTAGGCACTGAAATAACACCGATCCTTCCTCCACGTGAACACAAGGGGATGTGAAGAGTGCTTGTGTCAGATGATGTCAGATTTCTCATTAATTCAAATGAGCCCTGAAGTGTGACATTGTCTAGACTGCTCCTTCAGAGGAGCTTGATAATGGGAGGGAATGTGACACTCCAGTGCCTTCAAAGCGTCTTCAAAGGGCTCGCTGGGGGAACAGCCCCCCCGCCTCAACCTGCAGTCAGGAGAGAGTCCTCCACAGATTTCTGTAAGGGGAGGACGCGATGTTGCTCTTCACTAGTGTTCGCAGGAGGCCCGGGGAGGTTGGTGGGGACAGGGAGCATCCTTTGTACCTGCAGGAGGTGCCCCCAGCCCTGTCCCACACCGCTGAGGGTCAGTGTGCTCAGCCCCATGGCCTGCTGCCCCCCACTAGATGAGGCAGCAATTGAACGTCTGAGTGGTCCATTTCCAGTTGTTTAATGCTTCAGCAGGGCTTAATTACATCACGGGGACAAAAATCTTGAATTAAATACTGTGATCAAGACTGGGGGATTTTTTCAGTGTATAAAAGCACTAAGAGAAAGGTTGCATGCAATCTCTGTGTTTGTACAGAAAGTGCAGATTGGTTTGTGGTGGGACTGCTGTGCTTTCCCGTATCAAATGGTTCTCCCTTCCTTCTGCTCCCCAGGTCCCAGGGAAGATGGATGAGAATGACTTTGTAGCCGTGACCAGTACAAATGCTGCCAAAATCTTTAACTGCTACCCCAGGAAAGGGCGAATTGCAGTCGGCTCTGACGCAGACTTGGTCTTGTGGAACCCCAAGGCGACAAAAATTATCTCAGCAAAAACCCACAATTTGGTAAACTATATTTAAAGTGTTTTCTTGAGATGATACTACAGTCAGAAGAGAGCAGTAAAGTAATACGCTTCTTCAGAGTGAGTCGGTCAGAAAAGGGTTGGGGTGTCTCTTGGTGGCATTTTATCCATGGTTTTTCAGGCTGCAGACATCCCCAAATTAATTCCAACATGAGTCTCGGGTAGAAAGCTGTAGTTGAAAGTGAGGGATGCATTTGAGTTGGTGTGAGGTGTGTTAGAGATGGAACGGATCTAAACAAATGTAGAAACATTTTTTGGCACAAAGGTTTTTATTGAAGAAAATTATTATTACTGAAATATTCGGGTGTTTTCTTAAAAAGATAGAAGCAGTTCATTTTTTGTCCAGAAAATTCTCTTACATTTTTTCAAGATGCAGCATTTTTTCATGGTAACGTTTAAGTTTTGGATAGTTTTTTAGTGATAGCCATGGGAGTATTTGAAAAAAAATGGCATGATTTTGTATTTCCCATAAAACACAATTCTCATTTATTGTGGTAGAAGACCTGCAGGGTCTTGGAAAAAATTACAGGAACTCTGTCACCAAACGGAGAACTGCAGCACAGCTCTTCTGAGGTTTTGAAATAATTAATTGTTAATGTATAGTAAAAATCTGGTTTGCTTCAGGAATGCCACAAGTCTTTTGGCCAACTACTGAATCTTCTGGGGATTTAATTTTTCTGTTCTACTTTGCCTTAGTTCATGCAATTAGAAGAACCTTGTTATTTGAAATATAAAGGCCTAAGTTAAGTACAACTAATTGTGCATGAGGAATAATGTACAAAAATGCGTGCATGTGTAACTGGATAAACTGTGACCTCCTTTTCTTAAATCTTAAATGTACTTAACATCCTGGTTTGTTTTTTTTCCAGAATGTGGAGTACAACATATTTGAAGGCACGGAGTGCCATGGGGCTCCTACTGTGGTCATAAGTCAAGGAAAAGTTGTTCTTGAGGATGGGAACCTGTGTGTCACCCAGGGGTCAGGTCGCTTCATTCCCAGAAAGACGTTCCCTGATTTTGTTTATAAAAGGATAAAGGCAAGAAACAGGGTAAGAAGGATTTTATTTGCAATACTCCCATATTTTCATTGCAATTTCCTTGCATCATTGTACTGGTCACTGTTCTGGTATGCCCGCTGGTGCAATGGGCAGCAGAAACAAGAGTATTGTTAACGTTACTCCTCCTCACACCTTGGAAATTTGTAACGTTATCATGTAATTGCTTTGGTGTATGGCTTGGCACAAACTAATCCGTAATGCCTGGTTTAGTATTATAACTGATCACACCAGTTTATTAGTATTACTTACCTGTTATAAAGTTATAGAACAAAAATGTGACTTCTACCAAATCTGCTTGTTTTGTATTGAGGTAGAAGGGAGAAATTCATCTCTACCTGTGCTAGAAACGATTACGTTACTGTATTACCAATCCACTGCTTTGCTTCTGTCCGTGACTAGTAGAGGTAGTGTTCAATAGCTGCTGGAAATAACCAAGTCCTTCACAGTGTGCTAGCACAGCTTTTTTAGGAGGTACAAAGACATTCAAATGTACACAGATCTCCTTAACGACTGCACCCTCCCTCCCTTTTTCCATGTGTTATTTTAGACATTTCCATTACGCACTGTAGATGAATGCAGTGCAAGAATCACAAACCCCAAGCTCACCAGCAGCACTGGCGCTGGCAGCAGCGGTCCCAGTTTGCCTCTGGAGTCCCTGCTGCAGCGGAGTCAGGGGAAGGTCGATGGTGTTGGGGCAGCTCCCAGCAGAGGGCAGGACCTTGTGCCCTTCAGGCAGCCCAGCAGCACCGGCAGCTGCAGCACAAGGAGCCCTGCACCGGCAGCTCCATCGTGGCACCCTCTGCATCACTCACACAGGGATGCCATGCAGGCTGTGGGGACAAGGAGCCCCTGGGCTCCTTGCTAGCAGTCAGGTTGCGTCTGTGTTAGCTTTGAAAGGAGACACCCTGTGCCACTGCTGTGTCCTAAAGGACGGAGCTTGCTAAATATAAACTCCCTTACTGAAGGTCCCTGGTCTGCTGGCTAGATGATAATTGAGTGTCAAGCCAGGCAGTTAGTGATTTCTTTGTTAAGTTAATTCATTTGGGCAGGCACATTCGGTACTTTGCAAACAACCAGACAGCCTGCCCATGCCATCTCTTGATCCTTGATTTAACTGGAGCTTTGGAAAAGAGCAGGGTCAAGGGGAGTGCTGTAGAGCACTGAGCTGGGGATTTTCTCTGCGTGACAGTCAGCATGAAGATGAAGGTGACGTACGAGAAAAATTGCTATAGAAAACTTTCTATACTTGTTGATAACCTATCAGTCCGTCCCTTCTTATTTGAAACCCAGCACTTCTCATCTGCAAAACAAGCCCATCCTGACCCTGTGGCTCCCAAATCACTGTCACACTGTTTTGCCTGTGAGGAGAAACAGCCTTAGGCACATTCGGGATGAAGGACTGGTAATGAAGTCCTTTCCCTGTGCCAGCTGTGGCTTTTCTCATACAGGTCTGAAGGGACGGAGCTTGGCAGGACGTGGCAGTGGCACCACGTCAGTGCCACTGGGGCATGGTGGGCGAGGGGCCGGGCACCTCCTGCTGCCTGCTTGTACAGGGCCTGCTGGTGAGACACTGGCACGGTGGCTGGTGCCGGAACTGAAAGAATCAAAAGCAGTTTTGTGCTTGTTTCACCCCTTGCGCAGTAGTTTTGCAGGCCTGACCTTTAAATGCTTTTCCTTCTGGGGTGAGTGCAGCCAGGGGCTAGTGCGGCATGGCTGCAGCAGTAGGTGAGGACCCGATCCGGCCGGGATCCTGTTTGGGTTCTCCAGCATCTCTGCGTTCCTCACGCCTGCTCCTTCCCTCCCGCAGCTGGCCGAGGTGCACGGCGTCCCGCGGGGGCTGTACGACGGGCCGGTCCACGACGTCGTCCTAAGCACGAAAGCCGCGGCGCCCACCACAGCATCGAGGATGGCGGCCTGCGTGGGCAAAGTGCCGTCCGTCCCCGTGCGCAACCTGCACCAGTCGGGGTTCAGCCTGTCGGGTAGGTGGGGGCCCGGCGCAGCGGGACGGGCAGGGGCTGTGTGTGGTCAGGGCTCCGGGGAAGCGATAAATATCTGTCCGACAGCTGGCTTGTTCAGCCTGGTTCCGTTCACATAGCTCCATCCTCAGGAACCAGCAATAAAACCTCCGCTGCCCTCCCATGTAGGCAGAGGGTGCTTCAGCGCTGCCTGGCACAGCGTCCCCTGACAATCTGCCCAGCAGCGTCAGTGACCTTGGAAAAAATTGCACTTTGTCTTAAAATACCTGCCATCATTTTGTTCTCTTGGCTGGCTGGACTCATACAGGTGGATCAGCGTTTAATAAATCTGCAGGGTCCCATGCTTTATTGCACAGAAACTGTTTACAGGAAAGCCATTTATAAGGTCCAGAAAGAAACAGTAAAAAACAAAGGCGTTCAGGCACCCAAAGTCATTCCAGCCTGTACCGCGATAATACAGCATCCAAATTAATGTCTATTGAAAACACTCGCACTGCTCACAAGCGAAATGCTCGATGACTGGTGCATGCCAGCTCGCGGATGTCACAGCCGTGTGCCTCTCCCTTCCCGCAGGGTCACAGGCAGATGACCACATTGCCCGGCGCACGGCTCAGAAGATCATCGCCCCTCCGGGTGGGCGCTCCAACATCACCTCCCTGTCCTGATGCCGCGCTGCTGCCTGCTGCGCCCGGCCGCCCGCGGCGCTGCCTCCTGCCCACGGCAGCCCCACGGCAGGGGCTGGGGCTGGGGCCGAGCCGGGAAAGGCACGGTTGGTTCCCTCAAGCTCAGGATGAAAGCGAGGCATTCGTCAGATACCCCGGGCCCCTTCTTCTCTTAGGTAGAAAATAGACGAAGCCAACCCAAGAGGTAGTGGTGATAGTAGTGCCCATCTGCATTCCTCCCACTCCGTAGAGCTCCCAGTCTGTATTTCTTACCTAGATACTCAGAAAGCCCTTAGCATATGCATGCCAACACCTAGAGGTACGTTTTGAAGTGTGTTCAGCGGTGCTGCTAGCTGTCTTGTGACCAGGATGACCTGAAGGTGCGTTTGGCTGGACTGTGCTCCTTTCTGGCGCTGTCACTGCCCTTCCTACTCCAAGGACTTTTTGGTGATGCACACTTTGTACACAGCACATCGGGGCTGTTGTGCTTGCAGCTCTTTACACCATCTCCTTGGGCAGCTCGGGCATGCTCCAGGAGCCGTCACTGAGGAGAGGCGCAGTGGTTCGAGCCCACAGCGCGGCCAACTTTGGCCGTAGCATCCCTGGGGCTGGTGCAGGTGCTGTCGGGGCAGCCCAGGGTCGTGGCTGCGTTCGTGGGAGCCACGTGTCCGGTCTCCTGTAGTCTTGTTAGGCTTGTTTTTAAAGGTTATTTATACAGTTTTTCAAGTACCAAGTGTATGTCCAATAAAAGGCTCATTTGAAGGCCAGTTCCATATGACAGACTTTTTTATAAAGGCTACTCTACCCCGTTTATTATATTTAAAGGTACGTTCAGTAAAAGTGAACCTCTATGCCACAAAGCTATGCATGGACCTCTGACAGAATGGATCACATTTGGGTTTTGTTCCTTGCTTGGAATAAAGTTTGTTGGAAATCCTGAAACGATGGAAGTGGCTGACTGGTCTTAGTCTACGTTTGTGTGGTTTTCCTTGGCTTTTTATGCATGAGTTTGTAAGATTGATTCCTGACGTGTGGGTTTCTGCACACTGACAGTAAGAGTTTGGTGAGGTTTTTGGTGTGTTTTTCTTTTTTTTTTAAGATTGTCTACTCTGACCTATACCTCATAGCCCCATGCAATTACATTTAGGAATTTCTGTATCAAATACAGTTGAATATGCAATTGTTCAGATATATTTTATTTAAAAAAAAATAATTTATTTTTGTTTAATGTTTTTTTTGTTTTGTTTTTTGTTTTTTGCCTGCAGTTGCAACGAGGCTATTGAACATCTATTTATTTTCTTCCTGAACTGTGTTTTGTTTCTTTCTAATAAAAAGCATTTTCCTTCAAAAAACTGTAAAATCCATTCCTAGGGAAAACGCTCACTTGAATGAATTCCCAAAGCTGCGTGCTGCTAGGAAGCACACCCCCACCCAGCGGGGCTGACCGCAGCCAGTAACCCAGAACACGGGCTTGCACCCCTGGGTTTTCCCAGGCCCTGCACTGCCCCAAATCCCGCTGTTCTTAGCAGGGAACTTTCTGCAAGCTCTTCCTTGGCAAGATGCCTTCCTTCAGCAGCCAGGCTGCTTGTTCAAAGGGGCCAGGGCCGGGGGGACCAGGGCAGTGCCTGCAGACACCGTCCTCCCCGCTGAGCCCCGCGGGTGGGGTTGGGGCCAGTGCCCCCATCAGCCCCCAGCAGCCCCCATCAGCTCTGCTGCTGAGGAGGGGTTTGCATTTGTTCCCTCTGTGGGGGCTGCTTCCCAAAGGGTGTCCTGGGGAGCAGCAGAGCCCGCAATGCTGCAGGCTCACCCCAGCCTCCGAACACAGCAGCGGGGGCTAAAACACAGAGCGTGCCCCCCTGGGATGTGTGACGGGTCCTGCAGACCCAGCTGTCTGCAAATGCATCCAGAGCCTGTGGGAAGCGAACCCACCTGGGGCACAAGCAGCCTGCGTGGCCTTAATTCCCTCTGACAGCGCCGCTGCAGGCTCTGGGTCAGACGCTTCCAGGCGCTGGCTCAGCTGGCGACACGGAGCTGGCGTCCCTTCGCCGTGTGACGCTGGAGCTCAGCTCAGGGGGGCTGCAGGGGGACAGGGACCCCGCAGGTCATCGGTCCAAGCCCCAGCTCCAGCGGGGCAGGCGGCTGGAGGCAGCGCCGAGCCAATGCCCGGGGTTTGGGGATGAATGTCCAGACCAGCTGGCAGGCTCTTTGCAGCAAACCTTGCCATGAACCACCCTCTGGTGGGCAAGGGGGCTCCTTCCCAACCCATCCAGTGCAGGCACCTTTCGTGCAGACCCAGCCATCCCAAACGGCAGCGCAGGCACTCCGAGCAGGGAGAAAGGCAACCTGGGTGCTGAGCATGGGGAGGACGAGCCCCAGCAAGCGGTTTGCAGCCTCTTAGGAGAAGCAATCCCAACCCACGGGCAGGCAGTGGGGGATGGCAGGCACTGCTGCTGCAGCTGCGCGACTGGAAACGCTCCTGTGGCCGGCGGGTCCAGCGGGCACTGCGCTGCCACCGGGACAAGCTGGGGAAATGCAGCGCTGCTCACAGAGCTGCTGCCACCAACAGAGCTGCTCACTGCCCAGCTGCAAGGTGCCGCTGCTGAGCTGCTCTTGCAAGTGCAACGCAGCACACGCAGCGTGCTGGTGGCGTGCTTTGGCCATTACACCACCTGGTGTAGTTTGGATGCTAAACAACTCCGGTCTGCGATGCGTAAGCAAGAGAGATAATTATAGCATGCACTTTTTACAAGTTTTAATGTTGTTTTCCTACAGAGCGATAACCTAGAAATGACTGCAAAAACTTGGCAATGTTAAAAACACACATTTATTACTCCACATATGCAATGGCTTCTTGCAGGATTTGCAAAAACACAAATTTGTTGTCATAACTGAAATCTTCAGTGACGTGGTAGTATTGTCATGCAGTAAAAGTACAGAAATGTATGAACTGAAAATACAGAGATATGCTTTACATATCCAATTTACACGGAAATAATTAAAAACTATACCCTACCAAGGCAGCAGGATTTCGGCACTGTCCAATGGCAAGTCCATATTATTGGCGTTTTTGCTATTATTACTCCTACTCTCTGTTTGGCAAGGTATAGAGCAATAATAAAGAACTGGCAACAGAAGAAACATCCGGACCTGATCTGGCATTTGTTTTCTATGCAAAATTCCCAGTGAAGTCTGTGTAATTCAATGGAAACACTTAAAAATATGCAACTTTGCAGAACTTCAAAATACAACGGAGATAAGAAACTCTTATGGCAAGGAATTCAAGGAGAATAATTTATAGGTGATGCAGACTTTCCACAGCAGATAATGGCACACCCTGTATAAATCTGTCATACAAAAAATACATGTATTTAAATATCTATATACAGAAAATTATTGTATTCTGGTTCTAGTGGAGATGTAAACCAGAGCTGGATCAACTGCCAGGCTCTGCCTTACGGGTTTGGTAGCGGTAGTGCTTCACGACTTCACCATGAGTTTTGCTTACACCCGGAGCTGAATCAGGCTCTGAAGCAACAGAGGGAGAACAGAAGGACAGAAACGGCTCAGAGGACTTCAAAGCAACACGGTTTTCCTAGGAACCAGCCCTTCCACAGGGCGTACGCCCCACAGCCTCGGTGCCTGTGCTGCTGCCCTGGCACAAGCACCCCGCACGGCCGCGGGCACCACGCTCTGCTCCAGGGCATGTGCTGGGCACGGGGCCGCGGGGAGCCGGGCACACAGGGGACAGCAGCACGGGGACAGGCTGCAGTGCAGCTGATGTGAACCCATCCCAGCCCACACGCCATGGACAGCAGTGAGAGAGTGGCCCCGACACCCCAAGGTGACAAACAATGGCCCCACAGCAGGAATTGAGGTGACAACATACAGACACAAACAAAACAGCGACAGGGAGCAGGGCACAGCAGAGGTGACACATTAAAACCCATCCTGGGCTTTTTTGACAGTGAAGCAAACAGGTACCCATTTATCACCGTGTTTCCTTTGTACAACTGCTCGTTTCTTTCAATTTCATCTCTGGGGTCTCTGCATAAGCAGGCATCAATAAAGCCCGTTCCCCAGGTGGGCAGTAGTGAAGCGCGTGTCCATGCGTTACTGGCAACGAGTACCCAAACTGTATCGTACTCACGGTGTCTCTACACGGCACAGTGATCCTGGAAGTCTACGCTGTGTCACCTGTCCCCAGGGAGTCAGATTCAGAAGTTTCTGATGCGAGGCAGAAACGAGAGTTCCCAAATGCGTTCCCCTACGTGTCCTGCTGGATCTGCCCCCGGGTCAGCCCCGACACGGTGTCTCCCCAGAAGCTTTGCGGGTCACTGCTTGGCGCTGCTGAGGGCATTTCCAGCACTGACACAGGACGTGCAGTGCTGCAAAGAGAACATCAACGACCAGGACAGGTTCTGGAGTGAGGCGCTCTGGGCTCTGGGCAGTGAGCCAGCCCATGTCTGCACGCAGCAGCGGGGTGTTACGGGCCATTTGTAACATGTCCCAAAGAAAGCGATGAAGATCTCTGATGAGACACGTCCTACAGCACTGCAGACATCTCCTCTGGCCTGAGAGCTTGCAGGCTGAACAGGATGGACCTGTACCTCCCACACAGGGTGCATTTTGGTCCCCAAATAAAAGTCACACTTCTCCTTGTTCTCAGAGTCTCTAACGTTTGTCATTATTTACAGAAAGAAGCAAAACAGTAAAATGGAGTTTAACGAAAAGAACCATTCATACCGGTGAAGTAAATCACCTGTAATTCATACTTCCTGAATAAAAACATCTCGTGACCCTCATCCTGCCCCTTTCACGCCCACCTGGCTCCCGGCAGGCCACGAGGCAGGTTTCCAGCCCCTCGCAGCAGCAGGGTTATGAAGCCAAACAGAGCCCGGCTCCATGTGGTTATGTGACTCGAGGCTGAAGTGCTGCTCCCGTGACCGTGCTGCTCCTGCAGCTGGTGCCCAACACCCACAGCCGTGCTGCTGGCTCTGCGGGGAGGCTGGGGGGGAAACACAACGCACGCAGACGGTACAGGGCCGAGGAGCAACCGGCAGACCCCGCAGTACCTCCAAACGGGCAGGACTCGTTCCGACACACCGCAGAGCCCAGCTCCGTGAGCTGCTCGTGCCCCCAGCGCCGCGCTGATGCCCCCCAAGGCGCAGAGCCACGACCATCTCTTGCAGGGAAGCGGGGCTGCCATGGGACCCATTTATCCCTGTGGCTTGCTCAGTGCCTGCTGCCAGCCCCCAGCCCCGCGCACGGGATCGCACCGCTCCGTGGAGCCGCGGGGCTGTACTGCAGAGACACTCATCGGGTGCACCGCCTGCCTGGCGCTGTCCTGAACACCCCTGTGCCACTGGTATAAAAGCTCTGGCTTCCCCCAGCCCCCCGTAAAAGTTGTGCCTGCACACCTGAACACGTCTGTTTAAAGACTTCTGAAAGTTTGGTTCCTGCACAAGCACAGTCACTCACTGATTTCCACATAAAACTGTGGAAAATAAATGCTTTGTGTCTTTTTTTCATATAAAAGAGTTTTAAATTGGTTAAGCCATTCTATTTCATCCACTGAACACAAAATTTGTTCTAAAAGAGTCTGCATCTGTTAAAAACGTTTTCTATCCCATTTTGTGTTAAAAATATGCACGAGGGATGCAAACCCAGCGACCTCCTGAACGGCTGGCAGCAAACGTTATGATAGCTGTAAAGTGAATGCAGCGCTCAGGAAACCTTTGCATATCACAGCAGCTTTGTGTTAGCAGACCCAATGGCTCGTTTTTAGCAATAGTAACCGAAAGCCACTGTACAGCAGATTAAGCAACTGATATAGTGAAGGCTCCTGAAACAAGAAGAAAGGTAACAGCTGGAACAAGTCAGAGATCTCCTGTCTTACTAAGAAGGCAAAACAGGTACTGGTGAATTATACACAGCAGTTTTACTTTACACTGAAAATAAAGTAAAGCGAAGGGTGAAGTAAGGTACTCCCCTCTTTTTGTGACGGAGCAGCACTGTAAGGCCACCCACTTGGTTTCCACTAAAATCTGCATCTGTGTGAAATAAACCCTCCGAACCTGGACAAACAGAACCAGAGTTATATGATCCGTTTGCACAGCTCCTTGCAACTCACAATAGCTATGTGAAGAAAGCAAATATTTTAAATACATTTTACATATCAATTATGTGTTTAATCATTACCAAGCCCCAGGAGAATCCATGGAGTGCACAAAAAACATTTATTTGCCGGGAGTCGGGAAAAAGACTCTGGCAGGTGATGAAGGGACAAGGGTGTGCCCGGGCCATCCCCTCCCGGTGCCACAGGACCGTCCCTGCCCCACGGGACCAGCATTGCCCCTGGCTCTCAGCAGGCTGCTGCCACCCTCTGGGACCAGCGAGGCGCTGGGGCTGCTTCGTCCCCACGCAGCCCTCAGTACTGGGAGTGCCGGAGTACAGCGTGCGCCCCGTTCAGCCTGCCTCCTGCTCCACACCTGCTGTGCCCCTTTGCTGTAGCTGTAACTCCGCGTGTTGGCATCTCAGTGTGTTAAAAGCATGTCCAGATCAGCAACCTGACATTAGAAAAGAATAAAGAAATCGGTCTACCTTCCTCCGACTCGTTGCATAGCAAGGACCCTTACCCACGACAGGCACCCCAGTGCGCAGACCGGCGTCCGCCCAAGTCCCGAGTTCAGTTCTGTGAGAACTGCCTGTGTTGCTACAGCGCTGCGAGACGAGCTGCCGCGTGCCTCCGGCTGTCTCGGAGCGCAGCCGGTGTTAACTCAGCGCTACCTGAGAACGGGGGACGGGGAGGGGGTGGCCGGCGGCCCCCAGCCTAGCTGCTGCCCGCCGAGGAGCACACGGAGCTGCACATGTTCAGGTTGGAGGTCTCAGACTCGGCCTCCGTCTCGGCTTCATCGGTGGTTTCGGGGGGGGACACGGACTCGCTCGTCTGCTCTTGGCTCTTCTTTAGCCTGTGCGGGGCAGAGGGACCAGGCGTCAAGGATGCACCACCTGAGCTCCTGGGCTGACATCTGTCACGCAGAGCCAAGACCTCAGCGAGATGCTCCTGACCTTCAGGCTCTGGCACTCTCAATTTCTGAGATAAGACAGGAAGAAAAGTATTTCTTCTTTCCAAAAAATGCCCCCCACACTTACTTCTCTCTGTTAAAGATGACAAAGTCTTGCTGGATAGCTTCAAGGCATTCTTGGAGATAGTCATTTTCCTGTTGAAGAAAAAAACCACACAGGGGTAAGAAGGCCCATCTGCATCTCTCTGCTTCCTACAGCAGCACGGCACAGAGCAGCCACCAGGAACTTCAGCCTCGTCGGCTGATGGAAACAGCACAAGCGATCGCTTTTGTGGCTCTCACTGGGGGCCTGTTTCAGGGGTGCACACAGCGGGGAGCTGACAGTGCCCACATGGCAGGAGGAAGGCGTGGATGTGCAGACGGCTCATGTCCCACGTCTGCCGTTGTCTGACCCCCTGCACCCGCCTGTCCCTGCTCAGAGACCTCCCCGGAGCTCACACACTGCTGCTGCGGGGCCAGCTCCCACCCTGTGCTGCCGCACGTGCTGAGGGGCTTGGCAGACAGCTCGCCCCCAGCTCTGCCGGCAACAAACCCTCCCAGAGGTACTCTCAGGTCTGCTTATTCTGTTCTTTTCCTCCCCAGCTTCCCGATTTATCCTTCGGCCTTTTACAGTAAGTCTCATTGATCGCAGCATTAACTCCCGTCGAAGAAGGAAGGGATCTATTGCAGTTAATTGGCGCAGACAATGAGACAGGCAAAATCCCAACCGGCGCTTCCTGCTGCTGCTCAGATAACGGTGTCCTTGCGGGAGGGGACGGCTTCTGTTTCCTCATGTTGGAATTTGCTCAGCTAAGAGAGGAGCTGCAGCACCAAAGTGGCGGTGATGGGATCACGCATCCTGCCACCCCCTGCACCCCGGCCCTCACAAAGCACTCCATGCCCCAGGACCTGCCCTGGTGCGCAGTGTGGTGGTTTTATTCCGAGGACGTGTCTGATCTGCAAAACCCAGATTCTTGTATTTATCTCCCTACTGACATAAAAGCACCCTAACGCCCACAGTGAACAAGGGAAACAAATGTGTCTGATCTCCAGCTGCATCTCCTGGCTGATGAACTCTCCATAAAGCACTCAGTGGCACGCTCCCCCAGACCCACGTGCCGGCCTCTCCGAGACAGGAGCGCAGCAGGGCTGCGGGGGCTGACACAGGCATACAGCCCACTGTGGTGTAATGAAGAGTCGGGCCTATTATCCAAAAAATGGAACTGACACCCTGGCTGTTTCTGTGTGGCCATCATCCAGTGCTCAGACAAACCACTACAACATAACCCTGTCCGCAGCGTTTGGAGACGTGGGACAGTGCCCTTCAGAAAGGCTGTGACCATACGGACTTTGTTTTTAGTTTTGCTCTGGACCAGCATGCCCAGACCCCTCATTTCATTTACCAAGCCACTGGATTATTGTGAAAGGGTTTTATCAAACTTATGTAAGAGGAACATTTGGTTGTCATGAAGACTCCATTTGGCAAATGTTTTTATCAAAACAAATCTGCACGGGAAGGCAGTGCCGCAGTAACTACTGGTGCACACCCCCACAGTTGGTATCTCAGCCTTTTTCCCTGCTGGCTGTTACCGCAGAGATCACTTACGGACTGGGAGCTGTCTTTGCTGTTGTCCCTCGACTTGTTCTTTGCAAGCCTCTTCTTCTTCTTGTGCAGGGGCCTCGACTCCAGGATCATCTCCTCCAGCTCGAAGGTGGGGTCGCAGTGCAGGCGGCCCTTCTGCGGGGCACAGGGACACCACAGACATGGGTTAGCTGTGGGGCGGGCTCCCTCCCCCTCAGCAAACATGCTCAGGAACTCCTGCTGAGCACAGCCCTTCACCTTAGGGTGCAAACTGGCCCTGGCTGGGTGAGGGAAGCCGCCTGCTGCTTGTACTCACGTTTGGGACGAAGCCCTGGCTCCACGCGCTTCTCGCCCACGTCGCTCCAGACCACGGCTGACAAGTAGGCTGACGTCTGAATGTCGGCGAGGCAGGAGAAGCGGTGCTCGGGGTTCACCGTCAGCAGCTGCCACGACAAAAGCGTTCCCGTGAGGAAAGAGAAACAGAAACAAGGGAAACAAGAACCCCCCCTGCTTCCCGAACGCACTCGAGTAACTCCACAATGCTGCAAAGTTTGTTTTGGGAAATACGCAACACCCTCTAAAAAAACAACACAAAACTCAGAAAGCTGTTCTACAGAGCGTGAAACCAGGCGGTCACAAGTTCGGTACGGTGACAGCTCGGAGCAGCCCTGCTTTGCCTCCCCCTGTGGGTGCCCACAATGCGGGACCCCCCCGCCACCGCTCCCCCAGGGCCGGAGCAGGCAGCCCCTGAGGTGCTCAGCCTCCCCAGGGGCCCTTCCTCAGCTTCAAACAGCACACGCCTTATTTTCACACCTCCTCTGTGTACCAGGGGATGTTATTCCGTTTATCACACACTCAGACTACTGAGTATATATGAAAAAAAAAATAATCAGATAGGAATGGCAGCTTGTGTGCTGCTCCACCAAGGAGCCGATGACTGGAATTTTCGGAGAGCTCCACATGGTACCGTGCTGAATGCTCAACAGATCTGTGGTATCTGGCACGGCACTTGGGTAAGGCTCCCGGATAACTCAGTGCTTTGTCTCCAGCACCAAAAGCCTCGGCTGCAGCCTGGCCACGCCACCACCCTGGGGCCCATCCCGGTGATTTCCCCAGGGCACACAGAACTCGAGCCCCGGCCTCCAGCCCTCCCAGCTCAGCTCTGGCATCCACAACCTGGGCGCAGTCCTGCTGCCCGGGGAGCCTGGACACGATGTCCCTGCACGCAGTGACATTCACCTCACCACATGGCACTCCCACGGTGCGCAGGGCAGCGGTGCCAGGGGACAGAGCGGGGTGTGGGGACAGGAGCGTCCCGCAGGGAGGCCACAGCCAGCGACTGAGCTCTGTGCCGCTCCTAAAAGCTGGCACCTCGTGCAGCCCAGCAGATGGCAATGTGAACTTGCTGCAACACTCCACCCAGTGGTAACTAACTCTGCTTCTCCCTAAAACAAAACCTAGTCATGTAAATTGTCCACCCGACATCACCTTATATCGGAGTCCTTATCTGCTGTCAGCACTGAGCACACCTTTCCTACAGCACACTCATCAGCTGCTTTCTGAGCTCTCAAGCAAACAGCCCCCCAAATCAGCAACTTTCTAGCTGCAGCAATAAAATGCCAGCAGCTGTTTCACAGATGTACAGAAACCTTCTCGGACAGGTTCTCCACTAACTGCCCCTGAGCCGGACTCTTCAGCCGTGCAGAGCCGAAGAGGGAGCAGCTGGCGCAGCAGGCTCAGCACAGACTTCCCCATCTCACTCTGCTGTCCCAGCCACGATCGCCACCTTTCCAAGTCAGAAGGCCACATCTGTGCTTGGATGCTGGGAGAACACAATCCTCACCTAGGTAAGAACTGGGCCTGTTACAACAAGATCAGCCTCTTTGCTCCACTTGCTGTGAAGCAATGCATCTTACTACAGAGGTCAGTGAAAGAACAAAACACAAGATTAATCCATGCTTAAGCCTGAGCAAAGTCATATAAAATTAGTCCCATTTCAATTTTACATTAACACGCTGAAAGATCTCGTGTTAGTCCTGCCGTGTACAGTTCACAGCACACCCGAGGGCACCTCACCTTCCTCAGCAGCGCAACCATCTCCTTTGACCACGTGGACGAGTACTGAACGCTGACAGTGCTGAACAGCTGGACCAAGGACTCCACTGGGTTGTTGGAGTGGATGTCATACGGCCTCTGGGGGAAACACAGAAAGGTGAGAAGAAAGTCACTTTTCTCTCTGCAGCTCACTAAGGACGCGTGTTCTTAGAGCTCAGGCAGTCCGAAGCACCCTACCCAGCCCCGAAGGAGTTCGTAAGCCATAATTCCCAAGGACCACCAATCCACTTCGAAGGAGTAACCCGTGCCGCCGTTCAGGAAGGAATGGAAAATCTCCGGAGCTGAACGGGAAGAGCACAACCACAACAGTTTATTCACTGACTGCAGTCAGCTTCTGTTTCCATCGCCTACTTCATGCACGCCCGCAGGTAGACGCGGTGACTGCTTTCACGCGTGAATGCCACCGGGGGGGCTTTCAGGACAAGCTAGGAGGCAGCACGCCCGGCCACGGAGGGTGCGAGGAGCTCTGCTCCCCCCGAGCAAGCAGCAAGGCTGGCAGCGGGGCAGGACAGCGGGGCAGGAGAGCAGGGCAGGCTGGCACGGCAGCACCAGCAGGGCTCTGCTGAACAACTTGGGTGCATGCATTAATGGGCTGAGCTAACTCTGTGCCTTTGTGACAGGCAGGAGCTATGAGGCGGCATGCAGCGAGCATTCTCCCAAGGTAAAACCCAGGCGTAACGAGCAGCTATTAGTTCTTACCCATGTATGGCTTTGTTCCAGCTAACGCAGTTGCTCTCTCGCCATCCCTAATTATTGTTGCAATATTAAAATCTGTTAAATGTGCATGACCTTAAATAAAGACACAGTTTAAGAAGGAATTACTCTCGGCACAGAACAATCACAATGCAGAGTACAATTTTTCATCAGCTTTCAGTCTCCGCGAGCACAGCCCAGGGACAGGCAGGTTGCTGTACAGACCCCCCCAAATGGCCACGACAGACCCCGGAGCCTTCTCAGGATCCCGTGCTTGCCAGACGTTTAGGTGGTAGCTAGCTTTGCTTCTTGGTTTTGAATTGCACATGGAGCTTCACATTTTGAACAGAATTTCCAATATCCAGCTTATTCCACCCTACCTGGCTACTCTGCTTCTTTGTTCACGTTACCCCCACCGCGAGCCAGTGACTGCTCAGATCCCCGTGGTACCAGCCAGCTCTCCGAGCTCTGCTACGTCCCACGGGCACCCAGAAAATCCCCAGGCATCCTTTAGGACTACAACATCCATTCCCCTCTCCTCAAACATTGCTGTCCCCTGCACTGGGCACTGCCACGACCAACTAAAATTCAAGGCTGAACATGAAAAAGGATTTTTGTTTGTTTGTTTGTTTGTTTTTACAGGATTCTGAGGTTCAAACCTGGGATGACAAGTCCAGTTTTAAATGCCAAATTCTTTACCTTTGGAAAAGTCAGGTTCAGCTTGTGGTCAGCACTGAACAAACAGGAGGAATGTGACAAAACCAGGGGAATGCATAAAGGAGCAAGAAAAGCATTGTAACAGTTTACGCTTACAGAGCTCAAACATTACTAGCTAAGCCTACCCCAGGAACTAGTGAGCTACACAGCTCCAGCACATCATCACGTTGATATATCCAGAATCTACAGTCAGTAACAGAGACAGTAGAAAAACACTACATTAAAATAATGCCTCGGTCATGTTGATTAAAAATAACCTGTAACTGTTTTTTGATGAAAGCCACTGAACCACGACTACCACCAAAGTCCTAGAGCTGAGACAGTACCACTCTGCAGACCAGAGCAAATTCGGGCATGTCGGTCTAAGCGAAATTGTAACACTTTGCAAAGCCCTGAGATTGTACAAGGAAATCATTACAATATTTCAAACAGCGCTGCAGTACTTTCACTCTGTTTTTGTATTCTCCATCATCAGGACTGGGAGTTAGTTAAAATCTGGAGAAAAAAAAATAGTCTGAATGATTTGAACAGGCTGGGAAACATCTCTCTTAGGTCTGCTGCCAGCCAGCCGGGGCAGATCAGGGTAAGCACCGGGGTATTTACTAGGCACAGATCAGGCATCTGCAAGGCTTTAAGAAATCTTGCCACGAACTGAGTGTCCCTACAACACTGCTGTACAAAGTGCTGCGTACCTCACGCACAGACTCAACAGGAGCTGGGATAATGAGCACAAACCGAAGCAGCAGAGGTTTAGGTGTGACATCAGGAGAGGTGCTCAGAACACAACAGTTCAGTGCAGTCGAGCCCCAGGCGGGCTGCTCGGGGAAGCTGGAGTCTCCAGGACTGGGGCAGAAGCCCCAGGACTGGGGAAGAAGAAAAACACCCCCCCACGTGCCTTTCTTGAGGCTTTCTGCTATCTACCAGGCAGCTGTGAAAATGGTCTGTAAATCACAAACAAGTTTCTGCTGTTATTTCTTCCTTGTATCTCTGTTTTCCCAACATCCTTGAGCTTTATACCCTGTGCTATCATCTAATGAGCTTCCATGCACGTGTAAGCTTTGGTTCTGACAAGCCTTTATGCTAAAACTCAGGTGCTTTGGAGCCTTCTGCCCTGAGAAATTGTGTCCTCATTTTGTAAGGTTTATTGCTGGAATAGAGGTGACTATAAGGGAGCTGTCCAATTAGACCACTGAGAGCCTACTAATTGCTCAATAATAATAATATCAATAGATGGTCTCAGGAAGGTTCCCAAGCTTGCTCCTGGCTCAGCCCAGATCTCTCTCTACAGCAAGACATCAAAACTCTTTTTTCCTGCCTAGTAAAAGTTTATGTGCAGATCATTCACTTAGAACTCAAAAAAGACAGTTCTTGTGCTCTGTGCCCCTTCACAATGCATTTCTTGCATGGATAACCTGTGCAATGTAAGAGGCGCTGGCTTGGTGCTGGTGAGAAAGGAGGCAGAGGCAGGGGGTCAGTGAGGGCTCCTCACGATGGAGCTTTCCTCGAATGGCAATGCACATGTATGTCCAACCAAGCACCAATCAAATGTAAGGAGTGGTGCCTTTTCCACAGTTTTTGCAAATAAAAAGACGCACAGGATTCAAGACTGTAAAGAATCGGTCCCTTGAATGAAAGAGGTGGACAAAGCAAGACAGAGAGATCCTACCTTGCTCATCCAGGAGAATGTTGTCTGGTTTTACATCTCTGGAAAAAGAAGCAAGGTTACAGCAAGATGAAATCTCAGTCAGATGAGGGATGCAATTCTACAACAACAACAAAATCTGCAACTTTTTTATCTACCAAAAATTAGAAAGATATAACCCAAATCCTAATAAGGAGCAAATCCCTTTAAGATGGATTAGAAATACGTTTCCCCAGGGGGAAAAAAACAAGTGGGACCACCTGACTGATTCAGGCAGCATCTCCATGAAATTAATAACACAAGGCTCTGCCTGTGAAGCCCTCAATCACAGCTCTTTCGGCTGCCCCATGGAAGAGCGAGGAGTGGGCAGGGCCAGCAGCCCCCCGCCGCCCTGCCTACAGCACCAAGCCCACCCACATCCCAGCACGGGCACCCCCGGTGCCGCAGGGCCACCGTGGGCTGTCACACCACAGGGCACCTCGCTTGTGGAAATGCCCTCGTTTGCAGCAGCACGGGGCAGCAGGGGGTGTTACCTGTGAATAATGTGCTGACTGCGTAGGTAGTCTAGCGCCAGAGCCATCTCACAGATGTACAGCCTGACTGTCTCTTCGGTAAACTGCACGTTTTGCTGCAGGTGATAGCGGAGGTCACCCCCGAGGAGCAAGTCCACCACCATGAACATGTCCTCCTCGTCCTGGAAGGAGTACCTGCGGGGAGCAGGGTGCTGAGCGAGCCCGCCGGCTCCTGCGGCATCTCACAGGAGTCACAAAATGAAGTTGTTTTTATTTTTTCCTCACTTAATTATACAGCACCTGTGAAAAACTGCAAACATCCCCGCAACGAGCATATGTTGGCCTCGGTGTTTACACTTTTTTAATTAGGCAAGCACAATTCAAGATGCTGCCTTGCTTTTTAGCCTTTTGCTGTGCTGGGCAGCGCCTCCCGTCACAGGAGAACCCTCCCCACCAGGCCCTCCCTGCTCACCCGGCACCGCTGCCATCGCCACAGGAGGCTGCACACAGCTACAGACCCCGAAACTCCCTGGGGAGAGGCTTAGGACACCTCAGAGAACTGCAAAGGCAACTGAGGTGTCTCAGCTCCCAGCTCAGCACCCTGCTCCCCTCACACCCCGCAGGCCTGGCGCCGAGCGTGCCCCCCCTGCACACCACCCCTCTGCCAGCAGGCTGCCTCGATTTGCAGTTGGGAAAAACATGATAAAACTGTACTGAAAATATCCCCGTGTATCCTGAAAGTGAATTAGGAAACGCAAGTGCTAATTTAACCACAAAAAAACACAGAAAAAAAGACCTATATTTACGGTATAGTAAAACGCCTCTCTGTATTTGCAGTGGATCCCGAAGGAGACTGACAGCAGTGAGGATACACCACAAAATAACGTTCAATTGTTATATTTGGCAACAGCATTTCTATGGAGGGAGCCTGTGGGGTTGTGTAATGCTTGTGAATCACACACTTCTCATCCTGAATGTGTGCTCATTCTCAATGTATGAGCTGAGAGGGGAAAAGCTGCAAGGAGCAAATTTCCTCAAGAACTTCATTACCTGTTGGGAAAAAAAAAAATGTTTGCAACTGTTACAACTCTGAAAACATAAATACTAACTTCTTTGGCGACTGTGGAGTAACTGGCCAGCAGAAGGCAGGCGAAGCACTAACAGCTCCCAGCCTGCCAACACGCTCCGAGGCACCAGGAGCCTCGCGGGCTGAAGGAAGACGTGCTGCAGATGCATTTTTTGCGTAACGCCTTGATTTCACCTACCTGTGATTTTCCAGGTAAGCATGGCTCTCTTTTCTATTTGCAATTTGCTCCTCTTAGCAGGAGGGAAGGTGCAGCTCCAGGAATTTGTAGGTAATCTCCAAAACTGCTGGGCTGAAAACACTGCCGCAAAGACCTGATGATGCTCTCTGAGCCACGAGCGCAGAGGCCTGCCTTTATAAAGACCCATGCTACAGCTGAAAGGGTGCATCACAACCCAGGCAAGGGATGTGCAAAGCACCGAGGAAATCAGTCCTAGGCAAAACATGGTTACCCTGGTCACACGCACAACAGGGACAGGGGAGCGTGCTCCTCTCTCCCTCTCAGTCTGTCATCCTCCTCCCAACGGGGTGCAAACCTTCTCCACCATCTCTCAGAAATGCCATTCCTCCTGCAGGATGGGTGTTCATGGCTGTGAACTCCAGATTTCTGTAACCCGCAGCGTGTCCCCTGTCTGCCCTCCCCCTGGCTCCCCCCAGCAGCGCCCACGCCTGCTCGCACAGGACCGGGCATGCACATGGTGGTTTGAAGACATCACACAACTTTTTTTCAGAAACAGATCACTAAAAATAGTTACATTTCAAATTGCTCACTACTAATTAGATTAGATTAGATTACGTTAGATTAGATTACATCAAATTAGATTACGTTAGATTACATTAGTGCATGTGCACTGGCAAAAAGTGTACTCATTACCTGGCAGTGTTTTAGGGTCTAACTTAAAAATAACTACCCTTGAATCAGGCTGACATCTAACAACTAATTTTAGTCTGTAATGCTTTTGAAAAACATCTTGTCTAGATAATTACTGTAAAAAGTGGTAGGCAGGACAACTCCTTGGCTTCCCTACAAGCACAGTAATCCTCCTGCCCCACAAACAGCCCTCCAGTTTACAGAGCAGCCTTGGCGATGACTGCACAGATGCAAACACGGGCAGGGCAGCTTCAAGCTACCTGCTTGTCTGGTAAGTCTCATTGACTTAACTCAGTAAAACTGTACTGAACACACTGGCTATGGCTAAGAGCAGTTCTGCTTATTTAAACTATTAGCACATCTCTGTGAGACAGAGGCCTTTACTGGGACCAAACATTTGCTGTGTGAAACACGACTTTGTGCATTTTCATATTAATAAAAGTAATAAATAAACATCTCTAAAAATGCTAGCTTCTTTGAATTTTCAAGCTGCTTTTTGGAAAAAAAGAAAAAAAAGGCCTCCCCAGAGAATACAATTGACCACAAACTGACTGTAAGAGTATTCAGTATCTCCAAGCACAAGGGATGGACTGACTGCTTCTTCAGCTGCAGTCATTGAAGGGAGCGTCTCACGGTGCCAGCACACCTTAGTCACACAGCACACAACACACTACGATATTTCAGTTAAACTGGTGAGTGGCCCCTCAGTAGGTACGTGATAGGAGTATTTGCAAGAGGGCTTGCTGAGAAAAAAAAACACACAAAGGTTTTTGATGGCAAAAGATAGGCTGTCTTAAAATGTTCGAGGCCATGACATGCTGGCATGCCACCAGGAGGCAGAGGGAAGGAGAAGCTCACCAGAGGTTCACCAGGAACACGTGCTCAATCTCCTGCAGGATTTCCAGCTCCCTGAACACGTTGCGAACCTCGTCCCTTTCGATGCACTGCTGCTTGTTCATGTACTTCATGGCATACATCTTCTCAGTGTCTCTCTTCTGCACAATGCACACCTAAAGGACAGCAAAAGTGGAGAAAAAGATACAAGGTTTAGCAAAACGTTCTGTATCCTCACTGCAGCTTTACTTAGCTGCATAAACAGGTTTCAGAGCCATCTCCTGAGTGATGATGGAGCTCCCCACAAACCCAGCGCTGGGCAGGGCGCTGGCTGCACGCGGTTCGGTTCTGCCTCTCCAGGCACCCCCGCAGGGCCGGGGGTTCAGCTGGGTTCCCCTGCTGCTATTTCCTTTGGTGCTGCTCCCCAAGGCTCCTCTGACTCCCGACGACACTGCAGTTATCAAGGTAACTATTTTTAAATGAATTAATGAACATTATGCATGTGGAGTAATTACATCTGTCCTCTTTTAATTATCAGACGACACGCTTATTATTACAATGTGCTGAATGTATTTTCTTTGGAAAAATAAAATAAAATCCGGCAGTTTGCTCCTACAGCCTTCATGTGGACCACCACGGCGAGGCCGACCCCAAGGTGACTTCTCCCCCCCCGTCCGAGCCGTGGCACCCACATTGTGCGGGGCCTCAGCCTCTGAACTGCTGCTCCTCTGCAAGGCTCCCATTAATAACTGTTTGCAAGTGCTAATGGCACATAATATAATATCATCAAGGACACGTTACAGCAAGAAGGTGACACAATAATGGGTGGTTATCAGTAGCCTGATGAAAACACCCCAATTAGCGGCACGCACTCCAATTACGGGGATTATTTTGCGGTTGTCACTGCGATTACTGTACGAGCAGAGGTACGGATTTTATAACTCCGTGCACACCTCAGACCCCGTGCTAAAGGCTTCCCGGCTGCCATCTCCCAAGTGATTGGAACTGCACAAACCAGGTCCGGGCCTCCAGGACCCCCTGCCCGGGGACAGAGCGTGGCCACATGCCTGGTCCTGCAGCAAGCAGGGCAAGCTGGCCTCAGCACCAGGGCAAGGTGCCCGTGGCCACAGCTGCGGGGAGGGCAGCCCCAGCCCCTGCCACTCTCCGCCAGGCCCAGCAGAACGAGCGAGGGCTCCTGGAGCCCCGTCCCTGCCACCTGCAATGCCCAGAGGTGCCAAAGCTGCTCGCCTGCGGCTTCTGCTGGGAGTGGTGATAAAAAAACATCAGCTGAAGCCCTGCTTACTGCAGGTCAAATGGCAACGAACTACCTAGCGCAAGGCAAAGCACCCGCGGGATCTGACTTCTGCTTAAAGCAGACTACGCTGGCTGCATGTTTAATTAGCCAAGCAAAAGTAACTCTTTTTTTTAATTTCTTTGAACCAAAAGACCTAACAACAGCTCTTTAAATCATGGACTCTGCTTTTCTAAAAACAGCCTTTCACTAACAGCTTGCCAGACACTGAACAACATCCTCTTCTGATTTCTGTTTGTGTTTCTAAATTTCTAAATCTTTCTTTTGTTTGTTTTGGTTTAGATTTTGACTTTCAGTATTTTCACATGCATTGCTTTTCACATTCCTGTCATTTGCTTTTTGTTTCTCTGCAGGGAAAAGGGACACCCAGTAGAATAAATGAGAAAGTGATGGAAGATTCCTGTACTCTGCAATCATCCTAGGTTGTTTTCTGAAACGGAACAGCATCACCTCAATACCAAGTAATTCCAGCTTCAAGTGCTCTAGAAACTTTTATTCTCTATTTCCTGGAAGAAAGAAAAAAAAAAAAAGAAAGGAAAAAGAAAAAGAAAAACACAACACTTGGGAGTCAATAGGAACATTCTGCTAATGGCCAAGCCCCACGCAGTGCCGGCTGGGGGCAGCCCCACGGGGGCAGAGGGAGGTGCTGGTGCCAGAGCGGTGCCGGCGAGGCCCCAGGCACAAGGCAAGGGGCGCCAGGACAAGTCTCCAGTGCCCCGGGCACTCCTCCAGGGCTCGGGCATGCTGTGTGCCCTGCAGTCACCCCTACAGCCCTTAATGGCTAAGGACGTTAATGCAGTTCTTGGCAGGGCTTAGCACTAGGCTACAACGTGAGGAGCGGCGTTGGTCCTGCCCTCTCCTGGCACGGACATTTCGGTCCTCCGTGGCAGCAGGAATCCTCCCTGAAATGTCTGCGCCTACAGAAATGTGTCCTGTGCACAGACACATAGTGCCCATCACGACACCTCTGTCTGCTCCTCTGCTCGTGCATCTGCTCCTGAGGAAGCAAGAAACGTCTACTTGGTAACGAGTCTAAGTGGCTTTTTCTATTAGGCTCGATCCATTTTTCAAGTAGATCTACAAAGCGAAGAGACACAAGAAAGCAAAAGAAAAGCCTACTTTGTCCTCATCCTGCAGAACGTGGTCCCTCGCTGCACAAAGGAAAATTTTGGTGCTTAAATGCAGCCATTAGAAGAAATTGTATGTGATGCTGCCAGATTTGCAAGGCAGAAGGCAGGCATCAGCTGGTAGGATATTGCTCAAGACATGGCACATAAAAGATTTAATAGAGTCCCAGATACCCTGAGCATTCAGCTGCTGCCAAATGGTTTGTATACAGCTGCCTTTGCTTTTATTGCATTAAAGGCACAAAGGGTTTGGAGCTTGCATTTACTATTCAGGACATGAGATGTGCATTTAACATCTCCCATTTCGATCCCACTTTATGGGGCCCCAGACAATGGCAACGCCTGTATTGTCATCATAGCTGGCGGCTTGTTTTCATCCGAATCTGGGGCAATCTCGGTCTTTGCTCAACAGCCCGATCTATGGCATTAATTTAGAGGAGACTAACAAGGATTGCTGACCTAGATGATGCCCCCAAAAGAAGTAATGGGAGGGGAAGATGGACTCTTGGCTTTGCAATATGCATCTTCTTTATGTAGGTGTTACAGTTAAAGCACACAGCACACGAGTGTGTCTACACGTGCAGGTATGTGTAAAGGCATCAGAGTCCTTTGGGTCTTCCCAAAACAAGCCCAAGTGACAGTGGGGCAGAGCCACAAGCACAGCCCAGCATGCTGTAAGCAGCTTCCCAGTACGTTCCCAAACTCCTTTATGCAACCAGCCGAGGCGGACGCACTGCACATGCACGGAGCACCTCACAAACACCTTCTACAAGACAGATGTGTTTAAAGGAAACCTTGAACACGCAGAGGGACTGAGACAGCAGCAGGACGCGGCTCCCACTGTGGGGGACCACCTGCAGCTCTGCTGGCTCGGCTGCTAACGCCACCTCTGCAGCCACGGCACAGCACTGGCGTGTGCCGCACACTTGAAGCATTGTGCATGACCACGCAGCGTGCAGGCGAGCTGTTCCTTCACAACACTCTCTGTCGACAGAGCTGCCCTTGCACCTCGTGCTTCCAGCGTGTTCTCAGCAGCCGGAGCAGCCAAGGATCCAGCCCCAGCCCTGCCTGACCCCGTTTCCCACCCAGGAGCCTCCCATTCAGACGTCTTAGGGCAAAGCCTCGGGATGAGCCCCGCTCTGCAGAATCACAGCGCTCTTTGTCACTCAGTGGATTAAGCAGCAACAGCAGAAACAAAGTCCATAAACTGCCAGGAATGATCTGGCTTCTTATTCCTCCGTAGCACTCGCTGAGCTACTGCTTTGAAGAGTTACTTCTGTTTTCCACCCAACCATGCTGTAGCTTGGAGTGGAATTAGAGAGCAGAGATTTGGTTGTCACCTTTTCTTTGTTGTCCAGGAGACTGCAAGACATTTTTTCACTGGAAATTTTTTTGCTGTTGTTCTTGTTATTTTAGGATATTTTCCCTGGTCCTCCAGATTTTTGCTGCTCTGTACATTTTTCAGTCCAACTTCTTTGCTATCTTTTAGGCAGGCAGGCTTTGCCTCTTCTTTAGAAATTCAATAACTTTTTTCCTGCTGATTCTGAATGAATCCAATGGGCTGAAATCCCCACTCAGATGAAAGGTCATCTAATCATTTAATAGCATGTCCTGACTTATCTCAGGCTAATTGTAATGGAACAGCACAATTTGTCTGTGGGCTCAAACAAAAGCAAGTACTTTGCATTCTGGGCAGTATCTGCGAAGCTGATAAATACTTGAGATTGCTTGATCTCAGCTACCCAAAGATTATTTTTCCTTCTACTGAGGCAGACGTCATCTTAAATTAAGGCACTCACAATCCCACCCTCTGCAGGACATTACTGTCACATCTGATGCAAATGCACCCAGATGGGTTCAAGAATCTTCCTCTTGCTTTGGGAATGTGAGCAGTAGGTTTTCCAGAACCTCTTAATGGCTTCTGCCTTTGAAAGACCAGGAAATGCACGGTAATCCTTCCACACACAGAAACGTTATTGACTCCGGCTGATAGCCATCAAGTAGCTTCAGCGTACAAACCTGGATTTCGCTTATTTTGTTTTTAGAGCAGAGTCAATGCTTTGCATTAGCAAGCAAGAATTAACATCAGTCACCTTAATCCTACATGAAGGTGAGCCCCAGGAGAACACTGCTCCAGCTTGCAAGAGCTGATTCGGAGTGGTTACACCTGATCCAAGCGCACTGACTCACACTCCTGTTCCTGCTGACTGCCTCTGGGTATTTGTGCCTGGGCTCCTGGACACGCGACGCGTACCAAACTCCTATCACATATTCAGATGGTTAAATAAAAATCCGCGTATTTCCCACCGTGCAGAGACGAGAAGCACTGCAGCTACAAGCGGCCATCCCGGCACCGGCTGTTCATTGCAGCTGATGCATCCATGGCACCCGCGGGGCTTAGCTGACCCCAGCAGCACCCCCCAGGCATTAATCACCCAGAGCAGCAGCTTTCAGCTCCCAAACATGCGCCAGCTCCAATGAAGTCATCAGCAATCGACATGAGCAAAAGTACCGCCAGAATATGCCCTAAACTTTTACCCAACACAGAAAACACCAGCCACCCCTGGCAGCAAACACCTTCTCCATCGATGTGCCCGCTCTGCTCCTCTGCCCCCCAGCCTCAGCAAGCTGCAGAACCTCCCCAAAAATGTTTGCTGCTGCTCCCCTTCCCATGCCTCGGGGCTGCGGATGCCCTCACGCCCTGACTGCAGGCAGCAATGTCTGACAATTGTATTTT